TTTTTTTTTTTTTTTTTTTTTTTTTTTTTTTTTTTGTACCACGGGTCAAACTCAGGACCTTGTGCTTTCGAGGCAGGCGGCAGAATGACTGAGCTAAATCCCCAGTCCTGGGGCCTTGACTTTTGATAGGTGGGGGGATAGGAAGCAGGAAGAGCAGCTATGTTGACTGGTAGGGCTGCAAAGTGGCAGAAGGAGTTTGGGGACAGAGGCACAGGGAAGGTTAGGAAAGATGGGAGAGCAGGGCACGCCGAGAGAACAGGACCAGCTGGTCCAGAGGTTGCAAACTCTGTGCTCAGAGGAGCCTGATGAGAGATTAGTGGGAGTGGTGGGCTGGAGTCTGAGCTCTGCCTGGAGGCAGACCTTGTTCTGTTCCAGCCAGTATGTTGCCTTGTGGGGATTCAGGCTCTGTACGGTTTCTTGTTTCCAAAAAAAAGGAACAAGGCCCTGGGTTTGATCTCCAGCACCACAGTAAAATATATGTGTGTGTATGTGTGTGTGTGTATACACACACACACACATACACACACACACACACACATATTATATATATATATGCATGCTTCACAGAACAAATAAAACCCCCAAAATCTAGGGCTGCATCCCCTTTGTTCCTTGGGGTTTAAGCATGTAGTGATCCTTTACCAGGAAGTCCTTCAACCCTTAGCTGTGTGCCCTCTTGCCTTGATCAGCAACTCATCAGGACTTCTTCATGCCTCTCCTGAGCTGGTAATCCTGGTCTGTCCCCCACCCTCACCCTTCTGTCCCACTGTTTCATTCCCTGCCTTGCCCGGGACCTGTGTAAAAGTCCGGGCACCCCTGGTTCTCAAAGGGTGCCTAGGGGTGGGGCTGGGGAGGCCACACCCCTCCTGGCAGCTGAAGTGGAGACACCAGTTGGGATGTGTTGGTGTGGGGAGCCCCAACTGTGATGTCGGACTGGATAGGGCCTGGGCTTGATCTGACACTTTGGGGCCTGGGATAGGACGGCATTCCCAGGGGCCTTAGGGAGCCATGGCTTCAAGAGCCTGTTCCTCCTGGGCTGCCTGGTGGTCTTACCTGTAGTGGTGAGGATGCTGACAGTGAAAAGCAGGGCTGAGGGCAGGTCCCAGTTGCTAGCCTCTGAGCTGTTGCCCAGGCCAGAGACTCCATGGGCTTGTGCCCTCAGGGCTGTGCCCAGCAGCTCCTCCAGGGCTCCGCGTGGCAGGCAGGCCCCAAACTCTGCCTGGAAGGCAGCTAGCTCAGCCTTGAGTTTGGCTTGGAGCTGGAGAGTGGGAGGACCTTCCAGGGCCTGGAGTACCACAGCTCCTAGCCCCATGGCTAGCATGTGGGCCACAACCAGCAGTGCATATCGGGTCCAGGGCCTGAGAACCCACATAGTGCAGTGCTGCGTTTGGGGTGTGGGAGGGGCTGTGCAGGGCAAGGCTGGAAGGTGCTGTGTGGGTGGCTGAGACAGAGGTGGCGTAATCATGAATGGCAGGGCGGTGAGCTGTGGCACTCCTCCCAGTTTCTGGGGCCAAGATCTTGTTACCCATTTCACAGCAGCTGGGGTGGTGAGGATGAGGGCAGGGTGAGAAGCCCAGGCCCAGAACAAGCCTCACACCTCTTCACAGTAACGTCTGTCCACTGTACACTCCCCACTTCAGACACAGGTCCCTTCCCTCCTGGTGCTCACACAAAAAAGCCATGAGCAAAGAAACACATCTGCACCTTGTCATAGGTTCCGAGCAGGAAATGCCCAGGTAATGGGAGTGTTCTGGGGAGGGGCTGCCAGCTCGGCATGACAAGCATGGTGGGCAAGTGCCCGGGCTGTGGGAGGGATTGGGCACTGGCTAGGGAGGGATAAAGATGCAGCCTTTGAGGACAAGTGCAGCTCAGGGAGACCATCCTGAGTGGAATGTGATGGTCTGGGAAGAGAGGTGGGAGAGGAATGGTGGAGTTCAAGCTGGATACGGTAGGGGAGGGAGGTGAACAAACCCAGGGCAAACCCTTGCGATCTGCCTAGGGTTGAGACAGCATGGCCAGGAAAGGTCCTGGGAGATGTGGCAGCTAGGCCCAAAGAATGGGCAGGCCCACTCAGCAACAGGATAAGTATGGTCACCTGAGTGAGGGCAATGGCTTGTGGAAAGATGTGGAGTGGGAAAGCTCTGGCACAGGCTGAGAAGTGGACTGGGCAAGTGTGCAGGGTGTCGCAGACAAAAGAGTCCTGAGTGACTGAGCAGGGCAGGTGGCACGTTCCTAGGTGAAGGGTGTAGCATATGAGGCATCCTGGCCTAGGCCCTGACCACCTGTCTGTTGTGCTAGAGGAGTGAGGACACCAGGCTCCCTGGACAGGTTGAGTCTGCTGGTTTCCTCTAGGAAAGGTCAAAGCTACATTTGGGGAGTCAGCTTACAAGTTTATTTGGCTTCATTGGATCCCAAGGCCAAGGTCCAACCTTGGCTGGAACAGCAGGAAGGCACCCAGAGAGCCCTGGCTCCCATGACCCCATGGGCAGGGGATTCAGGCACAAACCCTGGGGTAGGGACCACAGTAGCAGGACTTGGTCAAAAGTGCTGGTGACAGCTGAGGCTGGCCCCCCTCTCCTGCACCTCCCTTCTTCCCTGCACCGCCCCTGGGGGCGATTCCCTGAGACAGGCTCTGGTCCTCTCAACCAGCTGAGTACAGTGTCAGGCCCCAGTGGGGCAGGTAAGTCAAGGGGACCTACAGGTCACAGGCATGCGTAGTGGGGTATAGGCCCCCCATCCAGTGTGAAGGCTTCCTGTGCAGTGTAGTGTTCCTGACCCCCTGGGAGCGGTGGGGTCCCGAGGGAAACTGAGGCAGCTACAGAGGCCTGCCTGGCTCCTGTTCCAGTGTATGTTGTGGCTCCTGTAAGGCAGCTAGAGCATGGAGGAGTGGCCTGGCCCACTCAAGGTCCTGCCTCTGGGGCCCAGGGGGCCTGGGCACCCATGTCTTTGGTCTGTGCCCTGCAGTCCTGGGGGCCTCCCCGGAAGGGGTTGGCAGGTGGGGAGTCCCAGAAGGGATCTGAATCTGGGAACAAGGTCCAGGGTGCCCGTCGGGGCGCAGGCTGTGGTGAGGGCAGGGGTGAAGGCCGTGGCCCAGCCGACACGAAGCTCCAGGGGTCGATGCGGTTGCGGAGCGGGGAGGGCCGAGGCCGGCTGATGAGGCCCAGAGGAGGTGAGCGTGGGGTGCCTGGGGTGCCGGGAGCAGAGCGTGATATTCCTGGTGGGGGCGAGACAGTGCCTCCTGTGAGGATGTAGGAGGAGGCATGGGTTGAGTGGGCCTCAATGTCTCCATTTGCACAGTGAACTACATTACCTAACTCATGACTTCCATGGCTCTTCATGCTCCTTGGTTCATCTGTTTATTACCAGGGTTAAGGGCACAGCAACTGGAGCAGACAGGCTTGAGCTTGGACTCCAGCCCTGCCATTTACAAGTTGTGGGAGCCAAAAGCCCCTTAATCTCTGTGCCTTAATTTCTTGATCTAAAAAATGGGTAACAGAGTTGGGCACGGTGGTACACACCTGTGATCCCAGAACTCAGGAGGACTGCCAACAATTTGAGGCCTGCATGAGCTACACAGTGAGTTCATGGCCAGCCTGGATTGTGGTAGTGCATACCTATCATCCCAGCACTCAGCATTCCAGAAGCTGAGGCAGAAGGATCACAAATTTAGCCAGGCATGGTGGTACACACCTGTAACCCCAGCACTCAGGACGCTGAGGCAGGAGGATCCTCGTGTGTTAGAGGCCAGCCTGTACTACATAGTGAGTTCAAGGCCAACCTGCACTACAAAGCAAGACCCTGTCTCAGAAAAAACAAAACAAAACAAAACACAAATTCAAGCCTAGCCCAGGCAATTTAGCAACTCAGATCTTGTCTTAAAATAAAAAATATAAAAAGAGCTGAGGATGTAGCTCAGTGTGAAGGCCTTGGGTTCAATTCCCCAGTAACACAGAAGAAAAAAAATGATATCGTTGGACTGCTTAGTTCATAGGGCTGTTACAATAATTAAATGAGACAATTTATCTAGAGAATAGCAAACGGTACCTGGTACAAGTAATCAACCAAGAGGCGGAGTCTGTCGTTATCACTCCTGTCATTTCACAACTGGCCTGGCTGCCCAGCCCACTCTGGCCCACTGCACAGCTCAACCTGGCCTCAGCTCTCTACTCGAGTTCCTACTACTCCAGAGCCCAGATTTGGGACCCACAGACATCCATAGTCTGAGGCTCCCTGCAAGTCCTCTTCAGCACCCCTGCCCCTGCCATCTTTTTATCTACCTTAAGGCCACTCACCACGTGTCTCTTCCCGCCGAGGGCTCTTGGCAGATGGCTGGCCAGCAGAGACACTCAAGTCCAGCAGCAGGGGCACAGGAGTGGGCGGATCATGGATGTTGGGCATCTTTGGGGACAGGTGGATGAGTGGGGTAGGGGGTGGCTCGGTGGCAGCAGGGCATGTTGCTGGTGTTGGTGGCGCTGGTAGGGGCTCCCCACGCTCACGGCCCAGGCCCCCAGATGGCTGCAAATCACGGCCAAGGCCCAGGGAGGCTAGTAGGGCAGTGCCACGCAGCAGTGCCCGTTGGATCAGCTTGGGGGTCCCAGAGCTGCTGCCCCGCTCTGTGGCTCCGGGCTTCCGTGGCTCCTCGGGCTCTGGGCTTGGCCGAAGAGGGTTACCTGCAGGCAGGGGTAGCACAGATTAGACTATAGCTGGCACATTTTCTTGGTGGGGGCCTGAGAACTCTCTGTGGTCTTGGACCAAGGCCTGAGCTGTGTCTCATCAGTATCTTCCCTGGCTCAATTGCCCGTCCCCTACCCTAGCTCCTCCCTGTCCAGTGGTGCCTGCCCCTAGCATCCCTGTCTTTCACCAGGCACACAAGGCTAGGACAGGGCAGTGCAGGCCGAGGAACCAGCAGAAGAAAAGCCTGGGAGGTGGCCAGGTGTCCTGGAACCCAGAAAGGAGTCTGAAGTGGCAGGTGGAAGCTGGAGGCCTCCTCCATGGCCAGCCAAGGCAGGCTCTGGGACCAGCTCTTCCTGGCCACACAGCCTGAGACCTGTGCGGCAGCTCCAACACTCACAATAACACACAGATCAACTCCAATGTACACAACAGTCCTGAGAAGCACACATTCCAGAGACAGACTGAGAAGCTAGAGCCTTGCCTGAGGTCCTAGCCAGCCTACAGTGCCTGCGTTTCTGCCAGGCCTGAGCTGGATGATTTGGAGGCACGGTTTTGTTTGACCCTCATGCCCCAGAGGGGCTAAGGGCTTGCACAAGGCTTCACAGTCATCAAGGGGTGGAGCTAGCCTCCCTCTTGGCAGTGGAGCAGTCTCCATCCCAGATTCAGGGTATCAGGCTTACAGCTGACCTGATTTCATTCTAGGCCGCCAGGAGTGGGGCTGGGAAATGTCGTGAAGTGGGGGCGTACAGAGGCACCTAGGATGGATGGTCTCTCACAAGCCCTGGCTTTGTTAAGACTCCTCCTTAGCTCTCACTGCCACCAGAATAAAGTCCAGCCTCCTCAGCTGGCCACTGAAGCTGTCCGACCTCGTCCCTTCTCCCTTTTCCCTCCTTGAGCCGGGCACCGAGTGGGCACCCCCAGAGTGCAGCTCTGGGTTGGGGTCTGGAGGGAAAAACATGAGCCTCTGCTGTGAGCGGACTTGGCCTGGTGTCACTGTCCTTCATCATAATCCTCACCCAATCTCTCCGCCTCTTTTCTCCCTCTACTCACCCTTGGCCAAAGCCACTCAGGGGCTCCAGGAGTCCCTCTAAAATGCAAAGCTGCTGATGACAGGTCTCCTTTTCAAAACTCATCATTTCCAGGCCCTTCTAAACTGGCTGCTGCTTATTTTTCCAGCTTGTTCAGGTACTCACTTAACAAACATCTACTGACCCTCATGCCTTCACCCACTGCCTTAGGCCTGACTCCATCTGTGCAGCCCTTCTGACGGGCAATTTTCGATCTCTACTTTCAGCGACCTCTCACTTACCATCTAAATCACAGCTGAGTCACTTCCTCTGTGAAGCCTTCCCAGAATCCCCCAAACCTGTGCAGTTCTTGCCCAGATTATGCTATCACCCTTATACCCGGTACTGACTAAATTCTGCCATGCTTGCTTAATGAGTTTGCCTCCTCCACCAGATTAGAATGTCCCTGAGGTCTCGACAGGGTTGATCTCTATCATGTTGATAACTGGCTCATACTGTTATCAATACACATTTCAGGAAAAAGTCTGTTCTGCAACTCTCTGCACTGAATAGGAGGGTCTAGTCTGAGCCTTCCAAGACCCAGGCTATATCTAGCTCAGCTGTGGGCCTATAGGTCCGAGCTGGGTTCTAACACTGGGTCCATCCTGTCTCAGCCTCAGTTTCCTCATCTCTAGAATGAGTGCTATCAGGCAGGATTCCTGCTCTGCCTGCTGGCTTCTCAGCATGGTCCTGTTGGGGAGACAAGGCCACTCACCGTTGAGTGTTGGGGGTGTGGAAGGAGATCCTACGGGGGATGAGTCATTTGAATCCAGGTACCAGGTGGCTTCGTCCATGCGGGATCTTCTCCTGGAGAGGGAAGGGGGTGCTTTGTGCATCTGAGGACTGGAGGAAGGGAGGCAGATACTGGGGTTGGGGGGCACTCAGATGACTCACCTTCCATTCTGGGCCTCCCCAGGCTTGGGAGAACTAGGACCCCAGGCCCAGCATGCTCGACGTTCTCCATTGCTCGAGTCCTCCAGACGCCGGGGGGACTGGCGGCCCCATGCCTGGCCTGGCTCTGCAGGCTCCACTGTGGAGGAACCCAGTGGAATCTGAGCTGATCTTTGGCCTCCCCTATCACAACAGGCAGGCTTTGGGGGCAGCTCTAGGGGAGGGCCACATGCTGGGCCCCATACTGTCTCCAGGATGGGCTTTGGGTGAGATAGGTGGGTCTGGGTCCGGGACCAGCAGTGAGGTGGGGCATCTCCTAACTCCTTCAGCTGATGTTGGCTGCTTAGGAGTTGCTACACCACTCCCTGGGTTTGGATTTTAGCTCTGCCACTTATTAGCTACGTGGTAAGTTACCCTTTTCATTTATCTATAAAACAGATATTTTAAAAAGTAAGCAAAACAAGTGCTTCCTGGGGAACTAGACGTAGCAGTCTGCAGTGGGGAAGAATAGGGGCACAGAGAGGAAGACAGTGGCGCGACCCACTTGAGGATAGGGCTTTGGAAGAAGGGTTGGGACTTCAGAGAAGGGG